AGAAGAAAAAAATCACCCACTGACTTTCAAAGCTGCTACATAACGACTTTCTACTTCGAGGACCTTGATAGAAATGTAGTGGAGTGAAAAGTACAATATTTGTCTTTCAAATGTAGTGAAGTTAAAGTCATAAGTTCCCAGAAAAAATAATACTCAAGTAAAGTACAGATACACAAAAAGTGTACTTAAGTACAATACTCAAGTAAATGTACTTAGTTACTGTCCGCCTCTGCATAGACGACACATGCTTTTAGGCTAAAACCCAGAAACAAGTTATTATTTTAGCACTTCTGGTTCCACTGTCCTAAATTCAAAGGATTCTTTTATGGGTTTTTGCTGTGCTTGAAATATTTTCATGTTTTATTCTATGACATAAAATACATCAGTAATACCCCTTGTGATCAAACTTTCAGGAAATGTTATTAAAATAAAGACTGAAAAAGTTGTTGGAAGCTTAGTGGTGGTGCCGCTGACGTCATGCAACCGTGGTGTAGTTTGTTTCTTTAGCCTACGTTTACTGTTTTACTTCTGGCAATTGTATTTAGGTGTTCATTTGTGAAGATTATCATGATGTACAAAACATGTAAGAATCATACATTTTTGTTGGTCACAGAGATACCTACTGTGATTATCCAAAAGCTAATGGAAAAATCCTATCCTAACTTGCAGGTTGGCATACAGAAATACTTCATCACTGCAGCACTCAATTTGCTATTAGTGTTCAGTTGAACATATCTCCTCTCACCTGATAGATGGCCTCGTCACAGGCATTCTCCAAAGCTAAGTTTACCATGGTGTTTTGAAGGGTCCGCCCCATGTAGAATTCCAGAGAGAGATAGTACACACGCTAGAGGTGAGACAAAGAAGGAGAAAGGTGAAAAAAGTAAAGATAATAACATTTTAAAAAGATGTTTTTATATTTAACACCAACAGCTGAGCGCCATTTAGAGCAACAGTGAAGTAGGAGCCATAAAAGCCCTTGCTGCTGAGCAGACTAGCCTATCTAGTGACAAGCATTATTGTGACAGGTGCACAACACAAGCCTAATCTGTAATGGACGTCTGAGACCTCACTGACCGCCACTGCAAAACATTCAATCATTGTGCGTACGTCGCGCAATGACAACTATCATGGAGGATTTGCTAGTGCACAAAAAAATGGCTTGTAATATTTAGCCTCTTGTCTATAAATGACAACAAAGGTTAGGACAGAAGAATTTGTGCGTACTGTGTCTCTGACACGTAGCTCATGTAAAAATAGCACCATTAGCTGTCAACATTTAAGGTTAAACACTCCGTCAGGATGCCAGACAAATTCCAAATACAAAGAAAGAGTATCCTACCTACGCTTCGATTATTATTATTATTAATATTATTATTATTATTATTATTTTGTTTACTTTAATACTGAAAGTGTTTAGCACTTTATTTTAGACTTAAAAAGAAAAGAAAATAGAATTTTACATTTCCTGTAGGAATTATGAGTACTTGCAGTGTAGGTAAGCTCAAGTTTTAGGATTACGTATGCATGTTGGAGTAAAATACTGTCAGTAGTTAACACCACTTATAATTCAAGTTGCTAATGAGATCTATAATTATAAAGTATATAAACTAGCTTCATTGTGGCAACACCAGACCTTCTCTTTCCGGTTTTAGGACTGAACCAATCACAATTCTGTATGAAAATAAACACAAGAAAGAAAACCAATCACAATAATGCATGCAAGAATTATGATGACATTATGATGACAACAACACATTCAATCAGTAGAAGATTTTTCAACTTAAATCTAAACGTGTAACGTTTATAAAAAATAAAAACCGTATCAAATGCTGAAATTATGTAGAAAACATGTTTTTGTTGAATTTTTTGTAAATTCAGCGGTTCAGTGCAGCAATTTCATCGATGTTTCCAATTGGGCATAAGAGAAATTAAACTGTTAGGTCTACTTGTTTTAACCCAAGATGTGCATATATTAATTTATTTTTCGAACTCGCACGCACGACAATTATTCAAAAACAATTTGACCTGTTGATACAGTTGTCAAGGGCACACAGTAAAGCTCTTCCAATAGCCTACATTCGTGACAATTGATCTGCAGGACATTGAATGCAGGCATGAAGTCATGGAAGATTATGCAATTGTAAAAAAAAAAAAAAAAGCATTGCTATCTGCCGAACCAATAGCTTTAAGCGGCATTTCCTGATGCAATATAAATACCACAGTATTACACTTGCAAGAAAAATAGAAATGTTTTTTATTTTATTTTGCAGTGTCGCGGCTCTACTGCGCAACATTATGTCCCCGGCTGTGTTTTTCGCCCCCTCCTCCCGTCTGTCAGTGGTGTACGTGCGGCCCCGCACTGTAGGATGAAACTGCGGCATTTGACTTTCTTACTTTCGGGTCTTTCTCGTAGTAATGCTGCTGCGTCCGAATCCATCTTCCCACCAAATGGTCGCGGACGGTGTGCGCCAGGGCGAAGTAGTAGTCGCGCTTCGTTGCAACATTTCTGTCCTTAACCAAAGTGAAGTGCAGATGGCGATTAAAATTGGTCTTGAGGTCTGCGACGTTTTCAACCCCGGCGAGACCTCGCACGGAAATTTGCTTCCTTTTCTCTTGGTCCGTTAGTGGCTTGGACATCTTGTAGATTGTTATATAATAGTAGGTTTCGTGCACCAGGGATATTAGTCTACGTGATGCCTCCTGTCCTGCGTCTGTTGCGACGCGCGTCACTGTGATCTCCAGCAGATCGAGCGCGCTCCCCTCTATACATGGCTACCAGTGTCGGGGAAAGTTACTTTTAAAAGTAATGCATTACAATATTGCGTTACTCCATTAAAAAAGTAACTAATATTGCGTTACTCCCTTAAAAAAGTAACTATTATTGCGTTACTCCCTAAAAAAGTAACTAATATTGCGTTACTCCCTAAAAAAAGTAACTGTAGCGCGTTACTCCCTAAAAAAGTTACTAATATTGCGTTACTCCCTAAAAAAAGTAAC